TATTGCCATCCATTGTGATAATAATAATAATAATAAGCATGTGTATAGCACTTTAAGGTTTACATAGGTTTTTTTTTCCCTTCAAATATATTGATTCCTTCATTTTATCCTTAACACAACTCTGGGAGATAAATGCTATTATTATACTTGTTTTATAGATGAGGAAACTAAGGCAAAAAGAGATTCGTTGACTTGGTCAGGGTCACAGAGCTAGTAAATGAGGCCAGATTTGAACTCAGGTCTTCCTGACTCTAAGTACAACATTTTATCTGCTCTACCACCTAGCTGCCCAGATTCTTCTTTCTACCAAGGTTCACCTGGTACATGGAGCCTCTGAAAGTGATCTCTTGCTTCTCAAGTTTCTTAGAACATTTTGTCTTTTTCCTCATCTTATCTTATCTTATATAATACTTACTTGCATGCTTGCTGGACATTGCCCAGCACCATTACATCATCGGATTCTAGAAGGATAAGATTTCCCTGTTTCATCTCTGTATCCCCAGGGCCTAAATCATAGTAGATATTTAATACATGGGAAATGAATTGAATCAAATTGAAAATGATTACATAAAATGCATCAGAAGAACTCTAAGCATATCTGAAGCAAATTCAGTTGTACGGGGAGGGGGACAGTTAGACCAAAGGTGCAGTCACATTGGGAGAACCCTTATTCTTGTTCCTACTCCCCCGTCTGAACCTCTTTTTGAGAAAAGCTGAGAATCACTCACACTATCATATAAAAATGAATAAGCCATCATTGCCTGGGAATCTAGAATAGAAACTTTAAAGAAAAGGAAAGTTACAAGGATGACTTTAGATATGTAAGATACTTACGTGATCCCTTTGACATTTGTGGCCCTGCAAGCAGATGAAATTGACTAAGATGTTGTTTTCCTTGAGCCTACAGAAAGGTAGCATGTCACTGTGTTAATTATCCAGAAAGAGAATGCAGTATTTGGCTTGCCCGACAGATGGCATTCTATTTGAGCCACCAGCTGTTTGTCTTTTGTTTCCTAAGAGGAATAATGGCGTGGGGTAGGGTGGGATGTGTGGGATGTCTTGAGTTGCTTATGAAGTGGATTTAGGTGAGGCAGAGTTTCCCAAAGTCATCAACTTCACTCTCTCTTCCAGAGTCATCTAAGTCCAGTGGCAGGACAAAAGTCAAGATGACTGGCAATTGTGGGGGATGCAGTAGATGACCTTGGTGCTTTAGATGTCTGGCTATTGGAATGAATTGTTCTCATCTGCCCATTCTACCAGTGGAAGTCTTCACATGCTTAGGGTAGACATCCCCCTAACTCACCGAGGGGTTTGAAGCCTGTTGGTTACCCTCAGCCTGATTTAGCCCATCTGCCAAGAAGGTTTACTGGGGTGTGGCCACTGTGCATGCTACAGCTTCCTGGAGCCACAGGTGAGAATGAGCCACCAGCACAGTAGCCTCTGCAGAGTGTCTCTGGAGCATTTCTGAGATAGCCTTCCTATCACAGCTGCAAATGCTTGGACTGCTTTCCACCTCCACCCTCATCCTCATCAACACTTAAGAAGGCTGCTTCAAGCACTGGCAATGACTGGATTCAGAATTATACTAGGGAATGAAAGGAAATATTACTAAAAACATAGAAACACGTGGGGCAGCTAGGTGGGGCAGTAGATAGAGCTCTGGCCTTGGAGTCAGGAGGACTGAGTTCAAATCTGGCCTCAGCTGTGTAACCTTGGGCAAGTCACTTAACCTCAATTGTCTCACCAAAAAAAAAAGGCTATAAATATATTTTATAATATTATATATATAATATGTATTATATATATAATATTATAAAATATATATAAATGAGGAATCTAGTCTGGACACAGCTGTAGAACCTGTGCCTAGTATCTGGTCTCTCTTGCCTCCGTTCAAACTCCACTGACATTCAAAGGACTCAGATATTTAACATACTGGGATCATATAATTTATTGACTAAAGCAAAAGAGGGAGAAAATGGGCCACAAGCTTCTGTGTGGCTCCATCTGCTTTTAGCCATCACATAAATTTCTTCCTGAATGTCCTCACAGAGCTTTAGAATATCAGGAGAAAATTCCCAAACCACCTACATCCACAGCTCCTGGAAAATGATTATAGGAAGAGGTATGGGTATATATCCCATCTCTGGATCATGAACTATGTAAGAAGAGAAAGCATTAAAAAGAGCATTGGAAATCAGTTTCCTCTTCTCAATTTACCAGCCCAACTAGATTCACAATAGCTGACATTTAGAATCCTTTCTTGATATGACTCGTGTCTTTGTTTCCCCTTAAGGATCAAAATCTATAGGCCACAGTCCTGGCTACCTTAGTCTATTTTACAAAAACCCAGCAGCCCCAAACCAATGACAGTGGCCACTTGCCCACAGTCATATGACAATCAGTCAAGTCAGTAAGCATTTATTATAGAGCTTACTATGTGCCAGGCACTGTGCTAAGAACTGGGAATATGAAGAAAGGCAAAAGACAGTCCCTGTTCTCAAGGAGCTCTCACTCTAAAGAAGGTTGACAATCTAATGGGGGAGGGGGAAAAGAGAGAATAATTGGGTCTAGAGCAGGGGTAGGGAACAGCCTCCAGGTCATATGTGGCCCTTTTATTAAGGGGATTTGTTCTGTGACGTTTGAATTTGGTCAAAGGGCCACACTTGCAGGTTAGAGGGCCACATGTGGCTTCAAGGCTGCAGATTCCCCACCCTTGGTCTAGAGGATGATGAAATCCTACAGCATGATGGGAAATGATGATATAGCTACTGTGGGCCCATCTTTAAATGAAGGAACCCAGAGATCTCACACATCTTCCCTCTACCTTCTCCAATCAGAGAGAGGGAGGAGCCCCAAGGGAAGGGGTTACTGAGGAGGTGAGAGTTTCAGAGCTGATGTGATCTTGTGGGAAGATGAATTTCTCAAGACAGTGACGAAGTCCAGAAGAGCAGCCAGGTGGGAAATGAGAAGAATCATTATGGGCATCATGGGCATGATGAGAAAGAGAATCATTGACCTCAGAGTGAGAAAGGACCATGGAGAGCACCCAGCCCAACTACATCATTTTATGGATGCAGAAACTGAAGCCAGACAAGTTAAGAAACTTGTTTAAAATTCCACAGATGTCATGCTGCACCCTGATTTTTCTTTTTCAAAACTTTTTGGGGCACCTGCCATCGAGATTCTTCCGAGGTGAGGGAGAGGGGGGAAGGGAATGTGCCACATCTGCCTGGTCTAGGGCTCCTATTGGGGAAAAGGAAACCTACCCCTCTCTGACTTTATGGTCAGTGCCTGTCTCTCACTGGATTTAGTGCCTATTTACAGCCCACAAGTCTGAGTGAAGTTTGCCTTCCCAGGAAAGGCCATTCCAATCCTGGTACCATATCACACCAGGAAGTTCCTATCAATCAGTCTTCAAAGATTCATTATGCACTACATAGTCCTTAGCATAGTCATTACATAGCGTAGCCCGGGACTATGCTAGACTCTGGAGATAGAATTTTACAAGTGAGATAGTTTCTGCTCTCTAGAAGCTTACCTTCTACTTGGTGTGTGTGTGTATAAAGTAGTAAAGTATGTACCTAGAAAGCAGGGCCTAGTTCTTATGATCTTTCAAGTGTGCACATGTGTGGAGTACTGCACATAGCAGGTGTTTAGTATTTGTTGAATTGAAAAGGAAATGATAGTAATAATAAGGGTAGCATTTATATGCTATTAATATTTATGTGCTATTAATAGCTAGTATGCCTACCATGTGCCAAACGTTTTACAAACATTATTTTATTTTATCCTCACAACAACTTTGAGAGGTAGGAGGCTATTATGACCCCCTTTTACAGCTGAGGACACTTGCCCAGGTTCACATTTGCCTCAGTAAGGCAAATGAGGATGAATTTGAACTTGTCTTCCTGCTCCAGCGCATGTGCACTATGGCGCCACCTACTGGCCCATTATACAACGCCTCCTATGTGTTCCGCATGAGCTAAGCACTTTTCAAATAGCTCTTCATTTGACTTTTGATCAAAGGGCCATAGAGCTTAAATTCAACAAACATTTATTCTGCTGCAAGGTGCTGGGGACGCAAAGAAAAAGACAGAAACAGTCCTGTCCTCTATCTTATAGTCTATTGATCAAGGCTCAAGGGGATTTATGGCTGGAGAGATCGCCTAATCTAGCCCCACCCCCATTTTGCAGAGGAGGAAACTGAGGCCCAGAGGGGTGATTTGATCAAGGTCACTGAGTCAGCAAAGGACTAATGAGATGCCCCCTGGTGGCGCTATAGGAAAGGGCCAGGATAAAAGTGGGGAAATCGTTTTGAAAAGCATTTTTTAAGGGTAAAAGCGGTGGGTGGTATCGCAATCAGGGAGGGAAGGCTCGCCCTTCCGGTCACTAACACTGGAGGGCTGGTGGTGAGGGGGGAGACGCGCACTACACTAAGGAAGGGGGGGGGAGAGCGCGCGGCATCGAGGGGCGGAGGCGCGCTCCACAGTAAGGGAGGGGGCGGGGCAGCCTCGGCGAGCGCGCGGCGGGCGAGGAGGGGCGGAGGCGCGCGCCATAGTAAGGGAAGGGCGGGGGAGCTTGCCGCGCGCCACACTAAGTGGAAAAAGGCAGTAGGGTAGCCTTGGCGCGCACGCGGCGGCGCGGCGGCGCATGCGCACTTGGCCGCGGCGGGAAGGCGGGACGGCCTGAGGCAGCGTACTCGGGAGGGGTATGCGCTCAGCTCTCGGCCTAGTCTGACCACGCTGCTTTGTTCTCGGGACCCAGGGCGACACCCCCGCTCCCCACCCCTGGCGGCGCCCCATTATTTAAGGAGCCTCCAGGAGCAGGAACCCGGCCCAGCGGAAGGACTGATGGATCGACAGACCGACAAACTGACCAACTGACTGAGGGAGGCCGGAGGTGTGACAGAAAAGCAGCAGGCCAGGGGGCCCGAAAACCTCATCCCTCCAAAGGCTGACAACCTCAGCCCCGGGGAGGGGGAGACCTGAAACCCTCATCCTCAAAAGCTGGGGGAGGGGGGAGGGGGACTTGAAACCCCTGTCTCCTCCCAAAGCTGAGGGCCCCAGTTCCAGAAACCCTCAGCTCCCCCAAACAGACAGGGAAGGACATGAAACCCTCATCCCTTGGAAAGCTGACAGCCTCAGCCCTGGGTGGGGAGGGAAGGAACACCCCAAAGCTGACAGCCCCCAGGCCAGGGAGGGACCCCCAAATCACCCTCTCTTAAAAAGTGACCTAGAGTTAGGGACCCAGAAACCCTTTTTCTGCCAAAATAGCTGCTTCAGTCCCAGAGTCAGAAACTTCATCCTTCAAAAAGCTGAATCCTGCCCCTGAGCCGGATATCTCCAAATCTCACATAACAGCCCCCCCTAAGTTAACAGCCCAATAGCTAGGTGTTGAAACCTTCCTTTCCCCCCAAATATCCTACCGTGGACCCAGGGGAGCAGAAAATCCTGTCCTTCTAAAAGCTAACAGCCTCAATCCCAAAGCTAGAGGGCATGAAATCCTTACCTCTCCCCCCAAAAGGATGGCAGCCTCAGGACCCTTTTTAACCCCACTAAAGCTCAGAAACTTTCATCCATGACTCATCCTCTCCCCTCCCACCCCCCACCAAAAGCCAGTAGCCTGACTCAGAAACCCTCTTCTCTCTTAGCTAGTACCTGAGGCCCAGAAACTCCTATCCCACCAAAGTTGACTACCTCAGACCCGGAGGACCCTTATCCTCCTGGAAATCTGGTCACCCCATTCTAGAGCTGAGACCAGAAACCCTCAAACACACGCACACCAATAAGGGTCAGCCCCAGCACCAGGGGTCCAAAAGTCCTCATCTCCCCAGATAGTTGATAGCCTCCAGCATCAGCAGTGCAGAATTCTCATCTCTCAGAAAGTTCACACCCTCAGCCTCATCCCAGAACCAGGGAGCCAGAACCATTATCCCCACAAAAAGCTGAGAACCTTAGTTCTGCCTCAGAGTCAGGTGACCTGTAACACTCACCTTCGAAGCTTAAAGCTCCCATCCCAGAGCCAGAGGACCTAGAAATTTCCTCTTTTTAAAAGCTAACAATCCCAGGCCAAGTCTAAGTGCTCTGTAAAAATGCCCTCACCCCATCCTGAGAAGCCAACAGCTCCAACTTTGCCCTAAAGCCAAGATACATTGTAATGCCCCTCCCCAAAAACAATAACCACAGCCTCCTATCCTAAAACCTGGGAAAACAGCAACCCCATCTCTACAAAGCCAACCTCAGTCCAGCCCCAGACATAAGCCTTCTGGTGATACAGCCTTGGACTCACAAGTTGGGCTCAAACAAATGTCTTTGGACTCCAACTTAAATTCAGGATGATCTGTTTCTGACTGGTGCTGAGAGAACTCACCTCCCACCCTCACTTCATCACACTGAATCTAGCCCTGCTTCCTCTCTGCCATGCAAAACAAGTAACTGACAGAAAACCCCAATAAAAGCAGTAATTAAACACCTTTTCCCTATTCCTTGGAATGGTCTGATTGGAGGGGAAGAAGGTAGGGGCACCATCTGCATCACTTTAATGCCAGGAAAGCATTAATTAAATAAATACTATTTATTGACAAATATAATATCTAGCCATATATCCTCAGGTACCTTTTCTGAGAGTCTGTTTCCCATTTTTTATAGACTGTCATGTCTGAACAAGACCTCAAAAATAAGGAACAGGATCAGTATCAGGATCAAGCAGGGCCTTCTATCTTCTCTGATTTAGGAAGAAGCAGCTCACCCTGTGAGGTACAGGGAAGGTAAGAATTCCTGGAGACTTTTCTAATTCTGCATTGAGATCTGTACTTCAGGACTAATTGGTAATGCAGGTCCTTCTCAGGTCCAGTCTTTGTAAGGAGCCCCCTTAGGCAAAGCCTGGTGCCAAACCATGCCCAATGGGGCAATGGTATATGTTGTTCCCAAGAAATGTCTATAGCAGGCCAAAGAAGGGACAAGAATTGTATAAGAATTAGGTGATATCATACTACAAAATGGTGAATCATGTTAAAGTAACTGAAAAATTAAGGAAAAGAGAATGTAGTGAGTGGAGTGATAGAATGAACTCAGAGCTAGAAATCAGAAAACCAGGGTTCAAGTTTCAGCTATGCTCCCAAATCACTGACTTAGGAAAAAAGTTTTGAGATGTTATGGTGCAGTGGAAAGAGTACTAGACTGGGAATCACAAGACTTGGATTCAACTCCTCATGCCCTCTTTGCTATGTGTGTGATGTCAGGCAACCTCTTTGAGACTCAGTTTTCTCACCTGTAAAATTCAGGTACTGAACTACATGACTTCTAAGTTCCCTTCCAGCTTGAACTCCATAATGCTGTTATCCCCTTAAGTTTCTGTTAATCGATATTCTATCCTTCTAAAAGCTAAACAGCCCCAATCCCAGAGCTGGAGCGCATGAAATCCTCAATCTCTGCCCACTCCCCCAAAAGGTGACAGTCTCAGTCTAGATTTGAGGCTCAGGACCCTTATTAACCCCACTAAAGCTCAGAAACTTTCATCTATGTCTCATCCCCTTCCTTCAATTTCCTCAATTCAACATTTAATAAGCACTCACCAAGTATCAGGTGATGTGCTAGGAGCTGGGTTTCCTCATCTGTAAAATCAGTAAGTTGGACCAGATGTTCTCTTGAGTTTCTGCTCTTGTTCCATGATCCTAAGTAAGTTGAGTGACGACACAACGAAAGAATATGACCCTATTCTCAAGGAGCTTGTAATCTAAAGAGAACAAAATCATATTAAAATATCAGGGGGGAAAGAGGTAAATGCAAAGGAGACCTTCAGAGAAATCTCTATGAAAAAGGAGATCACTTTCAGCTTGAGTGGGAGTTGTAACAGAAGGATTTGTAAGGAGATAACAGCTGAGTTGGGCCTTGGAGGAAGGAAGGGATTTCAGAAAACAGAAATAGGGTACAACCCAAGGTATGAGATAGAAAAAAGCTGTCTGTGAACAAGGAATGGAGAATAGTTGTTTGGCTGGAATGTAGGGTTCCTGAAGAGAAGTCGTTTGAGATACACCTGGAAAGGTGGCTAGGAGCCAGATTGTAGAGGGCCTTGAATATCAGGATCTGGATTTTATACTTTATTTGGTAGGAAATGTGAAGTGAATAAAAGTTGTTAATACGAGTAACGTGACCATAATAATTCATTAGAAAAATTACTCAGGCTGTAGTGTGAAGGAGTTGGGAGAAGGGAGAACCTAGAGGCAAGAAGACCAGTTAATGAAGGCAAAAGGTGCTGATGGCCTGAATTAGAATGTTTGCAGCAGGAAGGGACAGAAAGGGGCACACATGAAAGAAATAGATTTTGTACCCAGGTTCAACTCCCTTATGTTAAACATTTACTAAATTCAGACCTTAACAGGAAGAAGAGAGAAAGTTGGATTGTCTTTGGGCTTACTGATGGAAAGAATTCTGGGAAGTTCCTTCCATTTTTGACATTTTTTTTAATAAGGAGCTGAGTTCAAATTTAGTGTGGTCCAGTGCAAAGAGCACTGAATTTGGAGTTATTGGACTTGGGTTCAAATCTCAGCTCTCTCGAAGACCCTAGCTAGATCACTTACCTTCCATGGACCTCAGTTTCCTCATCTATAAATTGTAGGGAGTTGGACCAGACAACTTCTAAGGTTTCTTATAGCTCTAAAGCTGTGATCCTATGACAAAGTGAAATGACTTGTGGAAGGTCACAGGAATTAGTGATGAAGCTGGGACTTGATCTCAGGTTTTATGATCCCAGGCCAGCACTCTTTCTACTCTACCACTGCATCTCTAGAAATCTTTAATGTTCCCTCTAGCTCTGAAATGCTATCAATCTGAGTTTTAAGCCCTAATTTCCATTAAAAAGGCAGCAAATCTTTTCTCACTCAATCCAAACACGTTATATAAGAATAGTGGGTAGACCTAGTTGTCAAATGCTTAGCAGAATGATTAAATAGTTAGTTTATTTTATGGAGAAAGCTACATACTCATGCCTAGGCTCTCCATGCCCCTCCTCCCCTCCTGGAAGTGTTTCAGAGGAACATCACTGTGCCTGGAGCTGAAGATTTTGTCTTGTTCCTCCTCGAATGTTTGATTAACTGGCCACGTCTCTTGAGGGTTGCTGCCCGCGGTGTTCGTAAGTGGCATGTGTATTGTTTACTTGTATTTCTGTGAAAAGCGACAAAGCTAATCACAGCAGGCTTCTCTGGCTTCCACTCCAGCCAATCACAACTTTACCTTAACAGATGGCTTGGTTTACTGAGGCCTGTTCCCGCCACTGTTTCCGCAGGCGGAATGCCAGCACAGGCAAGGCTGTGGAACTGGATGTCCTAATCCTTCCAACAGCATTAGGGATTGAAGGAGATCCTGAGGACAGACTAGAATACATTAATGCAGCAGCGATTGATTGAGCCTCAGCTCACAGCCTTACACGCACAAGGATGTCAACATAAAGCCCTTTGCATGTGGGCTTCCTTCCCTGGACTCTATCCATGCCACCTCAACAGAACCCACTAAGGAAATGGGGAAGGAGAGGATTCATTTTTTTTTATTAAGCTAAATTGGCGAATGCAGGCACAGAGAGGCTTGTGATTAATTAGCATCCTGATTAATATGCAGCTGCCTTAGTATTAAGAAAAATTAAATATAAAAGAATAGATCCCCATGGGAGCGGCTAGCAAAATAAACATGATTTCTGGGAACATCTGATTTGGTCTTTTGTGTTATGGACAAATTTGAATGCACTGAATTAATCCAATCTTCTTCCATTTGCTTTGAGTCAAAGGAAAGATTCCATCATGAGATATCTTTCCTCATGTAGGAGTGGCTTTTGGCTATGAGCAGTTTGATCAAGATTTATTTTGGTAACTGGGGTGGGGGGGCAGGGAAAGCAACAAATCTCATTTTCTTTCATTTCAAGGTCTAAGACAGAAAAGAAAGAGCAGAGGAGTAGGGTGGGGATAGGGGTTCCTTTAATTCCTTCCCCACCCCCAGATTTGTGCCCAATGTCACTGTCACATAATGACGGAATTAGAAGGGTCTTAGAAATCTAGATTAGTTCCTTCAGCTATCAGGTGAGGAAATTGAGGTCTTGAGAAGGGAAATGAGTCACTCAAGGTCACACAGTGGCAGGGAAGACTTAAATCTAGGTCTCCGGAATTCTGGCTGCCTGCTCTGTCCACCACACCATGTAGGTTTCCCTCTCTTCAGATATGCCCCCATCTAGCCCTCTTAAACAGGCATTCTGCTCTTTCCCTTCTGTCATCCAGGCATAGATTTTCTAGCCCTTCACTGTCAGTCTCCAATGCAGACAGCCACACTGAAACCTTGGATGGGAAGACATCAAGTTTCTTTGCAGCTCTGGATGCCAGCATCGAAACTTTACAAAAAAGGGCCCAGCAGCTGATTGACAGCATCAATGAAAGCAGGCAGAAGGACCACACGCTCATGAGCAACTTCAGAGACAGCCTCAAGATGAAGGTAGAAAGCCTCAAGTAATAACTAGCCAGAAGTGTCAGACTTTTGAGAAACTGCTTGGACGATAGTAAAAGCACAACAGTTTGTTGGGCAGGGCCAGTTGCTACAGAGTTTTCTTTAAGGTAGGGGGTGTTCTTTCCCATAAGCCAAAACCAGAATCATTATCTCTCCAAAGATGAACTGGTGGTAACATTCAGTCCCAGATTTCTTATTCCTACTATTTGAGCTTTAGCAGCAATAGCCCCCACCTTCCAGGCTAAACATCGTTGTGAGCTTGAGTAAAACCCAGAGAAGTCTGACCATTTAGACAATGTTCATTCTTTGTTTTAGGGCTAATCCTTTTTGAAAATTTAAATAAAAAGTAGCTTGTATTTTTCCTACTCCATTATCTTAAGATGAGAGAGCAGCTTTTTACTGTCTCCAAGAGGAAAATGTTGCAGAAACACACAGAAAGGGCCTGTTTAGAATAAACATTTCATTTCTATTCCTGTTTAATTCCTAAAGAATATTTAACTTTTGCCTTCAAAGGTGTCAGATTTGGTTGAGAAGTTGGAAGAAAGGATGTATCACATTTATGATCATCATAACAAGCTCATTCAGGAGAAGCTACAGGAGTTCTCAGAGAAGATAGAGAAGATCAATAATTTAGAAATCGAGCTCAAACAAGTCTGCCACACTGTGGAAACTGTGTACAAAGACCTGTGTGTACAGCCTGAAATATGACAATATCCCAGGAAAAGAAGACCACCTGAAAAAGGAGTTGTAAATCAGTGAGCGTGAGAACAAAGCTAAGATGAAATTAAACATTGCACATATTACAACAATAAACACTCTTCTGTGCTGTTTCACGTGATATGATTTGCTCTTTAAACAGCTTATACCAGAAAGTACAAAATTGAATGGTTGTTAAAACTCACATAAACAAGTAGGTTGAGGGGCAGCTAGGTGGTGTAGTGGATAGAGCTCTGGCCTTGGAGTCAGGAGAACCTGAGTTCAAATGCGGCCTCAGACACTTAACACTTACTGGCTGTATAACCCTGGGCAAGTCACTTAACCCCAATTGCCTCACCAAAACAAACAAACAGGTTGAACTCTCCTTTGCAAGCATATTTGGGTAAATTGTGAACTATGAACATTTGCTAGTCACCACAGTGTCCTCCTAGCATCCCTGTCCCATTTGACCCTCCACCTTCCAAACACTGGGACAGATCAGGCTTGAGTAGCTGCAGTAATTTATATTCTTATTTTTAAAAACTTCCACAGATTGTCAAATGAACAAACACAGACCACAGCTAGGGTGTCCTTGGAGAAACATGGGTACTAGTTAATATTGTGAGCCGTCTTACAAAGTGACCCCCAATATTCCTATTTCTCTAGCAACTCTACTTCCTTTCCTCTTACTCATAACAAAAAAGCATGGACATACTTTTGGTCAGCAGCATGTCATCTTTATTTTTTGGACAAGCAGACTTCTTCCCAGTCTTCTCCCAAGTCCAGGACACTGAATGATACCTCTGGAAATCAATGGGCGATCAGCAGGGTCAGGAGGCATTAGTAAGCCGGGAAGCATTATGGGTTTGGGTGAGAGATCTTAGTTATTCAGTTACAAATCAAGCAGCTTCACAGAAGCTGCTCTGAAGTTCATTTTTCTTCCTCTTGCCCCCTGATTAAAAAAAAACAACAACTCACTTATCTCCCAAGTTATATAAAATTAATAATGGTTGGTGGGTTTAAAAGGACTGGCATTGCTTGTACAATCCCATTCTTTCAGCATTTCAACAGAACTGATTTTAGAACAAGGCACATTCAGGTATAGAAATCAATTTCTTCAATCTCAGTCTCGTACCTTCCAGAAAGGAAAGCAACAGCCACTTCCCCAGAAAAGCCGACTTAATACAATCTGGGGAATCAATACAGACACAATGAAATGACAACTCTTTCTGAAGGATGTTTGTCAGCCCTTAAGTAAACCAGGTTCACTTCCCAGCACTGAATGCCTGAATTCCCGTGATAGCTCTCCCAAGGACGAGGGCATGGATGTCGTGAGTACCTAAAGAAAAGAGAATTGAGAAAAAGAGATTATTTTTAGCTGACCTCAGAGTGGACACAGAGCCCTCTTTTGCCAGTTTTGTTTTTCTGATATTCACCAGCATCTCTGATGGCTTGCTGCAAAGGCTCCAACTCACATGGTGGGAAGAGAAGCTGTAGTCAATACCTCCTGCCCAGGAAGACTAGAAGTCAGCCTACCTTTGATCACTTGGGCATAGGTGCCAGTGGAAAGCAGAGAGGCTCATAACATCTAAACAAGTCCCTGACTTTTGTGGAGTTTTTCAAACCATTTGATGAGTAAACACACCTGCTTCTGGTAGGCTTGCATGCACATCACATCTGGTGTTCTATTAAGCCTAACCTGGATGCCTTACCCTTAGTGAACTAGCCTCAGGCATCACACAAACCCAGACAACAGCCACACTTTCCTGCCCTGACAGACCAAAGGCCAGCAGAGTTGGTCTTCCTACCATAAAAGTGCTGGGGCTGAAGAAATTAAAGCTGTCTATAATCATTTGACAAAAATGCTCTAAATCACTATTGGCTAGAGAAATGCAAATTAAAACAACTCTGAGCTATCACCTCACACCTATCAGATTCGCTAATATGACAAAACAGGAAAATGATAAATGTGGGAAAATTGGGTCACTAAGGCATTGTTGGTGGAGCTGTGAACTGATCCAACCATTCGAGAGCAATTTGGAACTATGCCCAAAGGGCAATCAAACTGTGCATACCTTTGATCCAGCCATATCACTACTAAGTCTGCATCCCAAAGAGATCATAAAAAAGTGGAAAAGACCTACATGTACAAAAATATTTATAGCTACTCTTTTTGTAGTGGCAAAGAACTGGAAATTTAGGAGATGCCCATCAAGTGGGAAATGGCTGAACAAGTTGTGGTATATGAATGTAATGGAATACTATTATGCTATAAGAAACAATGAGCAGGAGGACTTCAGAAAAATCTGGAAAGACTTGTATGGACTGATGCTGAGCGAAGTGAGCGGAACCAGGAGGTTGTTGTACACAGTAACAGCAACATTGTGCGATGATCAACTATGATAGACTTAATCCTTCTCAGCAATACAATGATCTAAGAGAATTCCAAAAGACTCACGATGGAAAATGCTATCCACGTTCAGAGAAAGAACTATGGAGTCTGAATGCAGATTGAAGCATTTCACTTTTTTGGGGGGTTTGTTTGTTTTGTGTCTTTTCTCTCATTTTGTTTCTTCTTTTACAACATGAATAATGTGGAAATAAGTTTACATGACTGCACATATATAACCTATATCAGATTGCTTGCCATCTTGGGGAGGGGGATAGGAGAAAGGGAGAAAAATTTTGGAACTCAAAATCTTATAAAAATGAATGTTGAAAACTATCTTTCCATGTAATTGGAAAAAATAAAACACCATTTAAAAAAAATAGTGCTGGGGCTTATTCCTAATAGCAACAAGGAATGAGAAACACTACATATTACATCTGGCTTCTCCCCAGTTAAGCTCCCCACGCTTTAACTTGGGGATTCTAGTGATTTAGATTGTGTCCCAGGTATGCCAATGAATCACTGTAACTTTAGGTAACTCACTTCCCCCTTTTGGACTTCATCTTCCCTTTCTGTAAAATGAGAAGGTTGGACCAGATGATCTCAAAGGCCCCTTCCAGCTCTAGAATTCTGTAAAAAAGCCTTATGGGATACCAGCCCATAGGAAATGGACCAGAGGGGACAATTATGAAAAGTTCAGTTTTAAAATATTCTGCTCATATCCTAAATATCCCATTGTCCAATTCAATAAACATTTATTAAATGTTTACTACATGCAAGGCACTGTGCTAGGTATTCAGGATATGAAGACCAAAAAAGAAATATTCCAAGACCTCAAAGAGCTTGTATTCTTTTGTGTATGTGCACACAAAGGTATAATCTCAAAATAAATGTTAAGTATTTCAAAGGAATTTTTAGAAAGAGCATTAATAACTTGAGGGAGAAGCATCAAGAGAGACTCATGGAGGAGGCAGCACCTGACATGTTCTTTAAAGGAATGAATCTAGGAATCTGAGAGACAGAGGTGAAAGGGGGGTAAGTGGTAGAGATTAGAGACCACCTATGAAGTCACAGAGGCTGGAGATGGAATGTCATGTACAAGCACTACCCAATGATAACAGTATAAGACCTATACATCAAAGATATCAAAGAAATAGGAAAAATACACAAAAGTAGAAAAATATAGCAGCTCTTTTTGTCAAAGCAAAGAACTGGAAACAAAGGGGAAGGATACTTGATGTAATGGCTGAACAAATTATATGTTATCGTTGTTCAGTCATTTAAGTCCTGTCCGACTCCTTGTGATCCCATTTGGGGTTTTCTTGGCAAAAATTGTACAGTGGTTTGCTATTTGCTTCTCCAGCATTTTAGAGATGAGGAAACTGAGACAAACAGGGTTAAGTGACTTGGTCAGGGTCATATAGCTAGTAAGTGTCTGAGGCCAGATCTGTCTCCAGGCCCAGCGCTCAATCTACTGTGCTACCTAACTGCCCCACGTATAAATATGACAGAATATTATTGTGCCATTAGAAATAATGAAAGGGACAATTTCAGAGAAACTGGGAAAGACCTGCATGAACTGATGCAGAGTAAAGGAATCAAGGTACAGAATGAAACATACCTTTTTGGACATGGCATGTGTGGATTTGTTTTTCTCAACAATGCTTATTTGCTATAAGGATTGAGTTTTTCTTTATTTGGGGGGGGCGCAGAGATTTGAAGCAGGGGGGAACTATCAATAGGATCAAAAAACAGAAGAAAAGAAAGGGCCATTGAATTTTTTAAAATGCACAGATGAGAATAGAAAGAAGTTGAGAAGTTAATGCAAACAAGCAGGACAGTTTTGAAAGCTGACAAATTTAATTTATCATATACTTAAAAAAAACACCACCACCATGGTTGCAAACCTGGGTGACTAAGATGGTGGTGCACTAAACAGAATGAGAGAAGTTTGGAGGAAGGGATTTGGAGGGGAAAAGAATGAATTCTACTTTGGAGTTTGAGATGCCTTTCGTAAATCCAGATGGCATTAGTGATACAGTTCCGGAAAGAGACTAGGGCCAGATATCTATTGACAGATAGATCTATAGATGAAGACATTAATAATAATAGCTGACATTTATGCATCACTTTGCAATTACTTTTTTTTGTGTGTGCGCAGCATTCAGGGTTAAGCGACTTGCCCGAGGTCACACAGCTAGTGAGTATCATGTGTCTGAGGCCGAATTTGAACTCAGGTACTACTGACTGCAGGCCTAGTGCGATATCCACTGCACCATCTAGCTGCCCCTACAATTACAAAGTGCTTGGTGGATAATGTCTTATTTGATCTTCACAATAATCCCGTAAAGTAAATGTAAGGATGATTACAATGATTTTACAGATCAAAGGATGACAGTGACTTGCTCAAGGTCAGAAGCAGAGCTAAGACTGGAATCTAAATCTCTTTCCCTTGCCACTTCACTGACATATCTAGAGTGGCTCTGCAGCACAGGCTCCTCACCTTCATAAGTGTTTACAGCTTCCAGGTTCATGACGTGCCGGATCACATGATACTCATCACAAATCCCATTCCCACCAAGCATGTCACGGGCCTGTCTGGCAATATCAAGGGCTTTGCCACAACTATTCCTCTTCAGCAATGAAATCATTTCTGGGGTCACCCTAGAAGACACCCCCCCCCAAGATATTGATTAGACTGGTGGAAAACTCTGACACCTTCCATGGCTTCCCACAATCTCCTGAACTAAATC